AGGTGTAGATTTCTATGATACAAGGTCAGTATATTGCACTGTATGCCTGGATCTCAAGTATAAAATGCGTGTACTGATGATGGGAGAAGTGGATTAGATGAGACTATGTGGTAGCTATGCATGGGCTGACCCCAGGCTGTCCAGCAAGAGTCAGTCAGCCCCTTGCCCACTGCAACCACCAGAGTCCAGGGAGCTTTCTCCAGCTCAGGGCTGGGCTCCTTGCCAGAAAGTGTTTAAGCCCCAACCAGGGGTTCGTTGATTTCCCCCTTTCCTGTTGGTCTGAAACTCCAGAAGGCAGAAATCCCTGCGTTTTATTCTGACTAATGAGGGTGGAGCTTAGGGGCCACATATTTTTAGCTCCGATAGCATCTCACGGCATATTTTCCCAGGGAAACCCTGCGCCTTCCCCATTCTGCCGGAAACTCTGGTCCGGCCAGACGGTGCAGCATCTGGGGATGGCTGGGAACAGGCTGAGAAGGGGGTGCAGACGGAGGAAATCAGAGTAAATCAAACCAGATGGGGAAGGGGGGACTGGCTTTGGGGGCGGGTTACTCTCCTCCTCACCCGGAGGGAAGCAAATGTGTCTTTGTTTCTTTCCCACCTCCGGCTTTACTCTCTTTAGGGGAACTGATGGCAGGATCAGAGCCAGCCCCCTCCCACCGTCTGCAGGGTCTGGGGCAAAAGTACCACATACCATATGTCTCTAAATAATCAAAAGTTCTAAATCACGCTGTTACAACTGTTATAAAATATGCTCTGTCTTCCTGATGACAAACTATACATTTATAACACAAAATAAAGTCTATGTGATGTCAAGAGTTTTGTATGACTGCAAGTTGGCAAAAATACCAACGACTGCATTTAATTATCACTGCATATTTCTAGGTGTGCTGTTGTTGAGCCAGCCATGTTTGAGTGGATAAAATAAAGACATCTGTAATTCATACATTAATATGTATTTATTCTATGAATTTAATTTTTCTTGCTTTTGTTTTAGCAACATTGTTCTGTTCTTATAGTCAAGATATTCCCTTTACGCCCGGTTTATTGAGATATAATTAAAAAATAAAAATTGTATGTATTTAAGGTGTTCTATGTAATGTTTTTATATACAATTTGAAATGATCGCCATAACTAAGTTAATGAACTCATCCATCACTTCACATTTACTTTTTTCTTTCTTTCTTTTTCTTTTCTTTTTTCCCCTCTTTTTTTTTTTTGGTATAGGAGAACCTTGGTGGTGGTGGTGGTGGGGCGATCAACCAAAGAACTTATATGCATGCACATAAGCATAACCAATGGATGCAGACAGTAAAGGGATGAGGGCACGTGCTGGGGGGTGGGAGCAGCAGGGGAGAGGTCAATGGGGGTGGGGGAATGAGACATATGTAATACTTCAGCAATAAATAATTAAAAAAAAAATCTCCTTGGCTTATAGGTGTCCATCTTCTCATTCTGTCTTCACCCAGTAACTGTGTGAACATAAACACAGTACAGCCTGTCAAAGTGGGATATGACACAGAAAGTGACTGTGCTTGGGTCACAGGAATGAAGAATGGCGTTTAGCACAGTGCCCACACTTACCAGCCTCATTAAATATCAATTCTCATTCTTCCTCTTAAAACTAGGGAGCTAGGGTGCCAGATACACTCAGTGAGACTATGCATTCCCTAAGGGCAGGAAATATCTCCGATATCTTGCCCTGCACAAGTCAATTTGTAAAGAGGTAATTTCCTCAGTGAAAAAGCAAAGCAAGCCATTAGTTTAGGGCACGCTGACCTGCTGGCTCTATCTTCTCCCACTCCATTCAGGGTTTTTGTTTTTTTGTTTTTTTTAAACATATTTTTATTGATTTCAGAGAGGAAGGGAGAGGGAGAAAGAGATAAGAAACATCAATGAAGAGAATCATCAATCGAATGCCTCCTACATGCCCCCTACTGGGTACTAAGGCTATATAACACAGGCATGTGCCCTGACTAGGAATCAGACCAGGACTTCCTGGTTCATAGGTGGATGCTCAACCACTGAGACACACCAGCCGGGCTGGGTTATTTTCTTAGTCATCAGTTGTTGTTTTTTAAAATATATTTTATTGATATTTTACAGAGAGGAAGGGAGAGGGATAGAGAGAAATATCGATTTGACAGATTCATTGATCAGCTGCCTCCTGCACATCCCCCACTGGGGATGTGCCCACAACCAAGGTACTTGCCCTTGACAGGATTCAAACCTGGGATCTTTCAGTCCACAGGCCGACGCTCTATCCACTGAGCCAAACCGGTTTTGGCTTAGTCATCAGTTTTAATGTGGCCTTCCAAAGGCGACAAGGACTGGAAAAATGACCCGGAATCATGACTAAAATGCTGGTTTCACCATTTTGGAAGCAATTTTAATGAAGATGGAAATGTTTATCAACTCAACACAGGTACTCCAAAATACAAAGCAAAATATCATCACCAGCTGCATAGCAAATATGACTTAAGAATTTAACATCATTATTTGATCACAAGGGTAGATAGAAGTCACCATAAATAAATGTAAATTCATTGTACAAAAATCCTCAACATCTCTTAATACAAATATGGTACATTTGACAGTTTCTGAAACAGATTTTTTAACTTTTTAAAACCTATGCATTTTTTTTTTTTTTACTTGATTCTTAAGACACACAAAACCCAAAAACACAGAAGGGGGTGGGTATAATATCAAGGCGTAAAGAATTTTAAAACTCTTCAATGCTCATAAATAAATGCTGCTGGCAAGCTGGGGAAATGAGATGTTTCTCCCGAAGATCAAGACCTCAATTTACTGGGATAGAATCTCCTGAGGATAATGGGATTCTATCCAGAGGGTCAATTTCAGATTCATGAATGCAGGGCCAGGAGGGTGGGTGGTTGAAATTGCAATCTCATCAAATGGATGATCCAAATCTGCACAAAAGCAACAATCAAGGATCTGGAAAGACCTTGAGGACTTAAGAACCCATCATCTGTCTGCAGAGCGACTGTTCCTGGACTGGAGGTTCAGAAGGCTCTGGAACTTAAGAGATTTGATGTGGGTTTTGAAGGCATGTTCTGTGTCGTTCAACCATGGGATGTAACGTTCGGGACATATCAATGGTCATCAAGAGGAAAAAATGAAATATTGGAATAGGAAGTGGCACCTCCAGACAAGATCTGCCAGCTTCTACCTTGAACCACTCTCCGTCCCTACAAAGAGCTAGCAGGGGAGGGCACTTCTACAGCAGTGGTCCTCGGGCTTCCATGTGCAACAGAACTCTGATCGCTCCATCTTACTCCCAGGGATGCAAAATCAGTGAGTTTGAGGCAGAGCCCAGAAATGGGCATTAAATTTTAGGAGGCCCTGGTAGGAGGCCTTTTGACCACAGTTGGTGAGCCCCAGCTCCCTCCTGCCTGGTGAGCATCGGTAAATCACACAAGCCTCTTGCTCTGGACTCGTGCTTGCTCTTCCCATGGGGTTAAAATGGGGCCATCTGATGAATGGAAACCAATTCCATCCCTCCACCCCGAGGGAGGAGATCATTATTGTTCTATTTTTTCCTCTTTTCTTTTCCTCCTGGGGTGGGGAAGTGGGGTGGTGGTGGTGGAGGGAGATATCAAATACTTTATATTTTCTTACAAGCCCAGGGCACAGGCCCCCTTTGAAGATGGTGCCCTCTGTAATGAGACATTCACTTCCACAGGCTTCTGTCTTTCCATTCTCCCAGGCCTGGAGGGAGGATGCTACTAAGGAACTTGGGGTCAGTCTGGGAAATGGAAGTAGTTATGCCCTTGTGGGATACGCCCCATCCCTGAAAACCTAAGTTAAGGAACATTTAAGGAAGTTGAGAGCAAAAGATAAAATGTCTCAAGAATTTGTTTCTCGGACAATGGAAGTCCTGATTCACAAAAACAACTCCTTTTTTTGTGGGTGTATCTTGGTGTTAAAGGCTCATTGACAAATTTTATTTGAATTCCTCACTTCCTTGACCCCAATATGGTTCTGGCTCCTATTAAAATAACCCCTTAATATTTTCTTGATGACAGCCTGTGCAAAGAATTTTGCTCTAATTTGCTCGCTGACTTGTTCCATGCTACAGTCCCAGAGTCCATCGCCCTGTGCGGCTTAGTGATCAGTATTTGCTTACTGAATAAAGGAACCATCTCGCCCGCCATCAAGCTGATGAAATGTTCCAATAGTTTTCTGTTTTGGGTTATGGAATCCTGGCTGTTCATAAATGTCTCTTCCACACGTTCCTACCCAGTCCCATGTCTGAGCTCCAGAGAGAGCCCGAGAGGAGAGTTAGGATGTGGCTTGGAGTCCCTGGAAGGTCAGAGCCAACACCATCTCCCATGGTGCTGACACCTTGTCCTCTTTCGCCAGGGCTCTCGGCGCCTTGGTCCAGAAGTAGTCTTGGCGGTAGAATCCCTGGTGTCCAGAGCAGGAGGAGGTGCCCACCCGGAAAAACTGGGGGAGGGAGCCAGAGGAGGTGAAGAAGCCAGTAAGAGGAGGCCTGACCATCAGGTTAGGCTGATTTCTAGGGCCATGGCCACACTCTTTTCTCCATTTCTGAGACGTCAGCTTGGAAGTCACATGTGGGCACCGGGTAGGAGGTCACCATCTGGGAGGAAGTCTTGGGAAGCAACCACAGATGTGGGATGGGGCTGCGAGATGGAGAAAGGGTGAAACTAGGGTTCTTAACAAGGGCTCTTAACACAGTTGAGGAAAAGAAAGAAGAAAACAAAAGCACATACTGCCCTGTTTTTTGTTTTTGTTTGTGTGTGTATTTTTCATTTATACTAAGACAAAACCACCATGGAGATGTCGGGGAGCATGCACAGGCCCAGCCTTGGGAGGCGTAGATGTGTCTGGGGAGGTTCCTATTGGCTTCCAGGTCCATTCCACACACTGTTCAGTCGGACCCCGTTACCGGGCTGGCCATGGCTTTCTCTCTCCTGCTGCGTGGTCTCTCCAGGTTGAGGGCTTGCAGGACCTTCTGCCTAGCAGGTGGTGGCCAGGGACTGGTGGATGGGCGGCTGGAAGCAGCGCACGTGCTCCACGGTGGAACTGTCTGTCTCCACGGACTTCATGTACTTGTTCAGGATGGCAAAAACCTCATTGTTCAAGATCTGGTACTTCCTGATCCTGTCTGCCATTTTTTTCAGCGGCTGCAAAGGACACGGCCATTCAGGTTAGGGGTGGGAGGAGGAGACAGAGGAATAAAGGGGTGAGCAAGAGAAAAATTCAGCGAGGTTGGGGTCTAGGGTCCTGATGCTTCAATGATCACATCACTCTCTTGCTTAAAGGTCCCCAGAGCTTGGTAATCAAATGTTATCTTGGCCATAAAACACCTTGTGAGTTTCAAAACTTACTACAAAGCAGAGTGGCACTGGCACGAAGGCAGACAGATAGATCAATGAAATGGACAGCCCAGAAATCAATTCTTCCATATACAGTCAAATGATTTCTGTCAAGGATGCCAAGATAGGTCAATGGAGAATGGATAGTTTTTCAAAAATGGTGCTGAGAAAATTGGATATCCACATGCAAATGAATGAAATTGGATCCTTACCTTATACCATACACAAATAATTAGCTCAGTGGTTCTCAACCTTTCTAATGCTGTGACCTTTTAATACAGTTCCTCATGTTGTGGCAACCCCCAACCATAAAATTATTATAATTATTATTTTTTAAAATATATTTTATTGATTTTTTACAGAGAGGAAGGGAGAGAGCTAGGGAACTAGAAATGTCGATGAGCGAGAAACATCGACCAGCTGCCTCTTGCACACCCCCTACTGGGGATGTGCCTGCAACCAATGTACATGCCCTTGCCCAGAATCGAACTTGGGACCTTTCAGTCCACAGACCGATGCTCTACCACTGAGCCAAACCGGCTTCGGCCATAAAATTATTTTCGTTGCTACTTAATAACTGTAATTTTGCTATTGTTATGAACTGTAATGTAAATACATGTGTTTCCCGATGGATCCTGCTAGCAGATCTCAACCCTTGGGATCCACAGGTTGAGAACCACTGAATTAGCTCAAAATGGACCAATGGCCTACATAAGAGCTAAAGCTAAAAAACTCTTAGAAGATAACAATGAGAAAAAAATTCATGACATTGAATTTGGCAATGACTTCTTGGATGTGATACCAAAAGCACAGGTAATAAAAGAAAAAAATAAACTGGACTACATTGAAAAGCTTGTCTGCATCAAAGGACATTACCAACTGTGTGAGAAGGCAATCCATGGAATAGGAGAAAATATTTGTAAATCACATACCTAATAAAAGGTTACTATCCAGAAAATAAATAAATAAATATATATATATATATATATATATATATATATATATATATATATAAAAGAAGTGAACAAAAGACTAGAATAGACTCTTAGAAGAAGATAAATAAATAGCCAATAAGAACATAAAAAGATGCTCACATCACTGCACACCCCACACCTGCACAGCTCCCATGTTCAGGGAAAGTCTGTGCAGACAAGGAACTGGCATCGGCCGAGCCCAGTTGACACAGGGAAGGTGTATTTCAGGTCTGGAGCCCGGCCCGGCCCTGCCCTGCAGGGTGACCTGATTCATCCCAGCGGGTTAGGAGCAAATGATTCACGGCTTTCTACGAGAAAGTCCCCTCCGCTGAGTGTCTCTGTGCCTCCCCGCCGTGTGGGGAGTTGGCTCCATAATCGGCTCACCCTCCTTTTCAGAGAGAAGCCTGCTTGTCAGGCCTGGCCCATCTCCCAGGCACCAGCTGCTTACCACATTCTTAATGATTTCGTCCTTCCCGTCCTGCCTCTGCACTTTCAGCAGGTGGTAGCAGAAGTCGAACAGGTCAAAGCGACGCTGCTGGCCCAGCAGGACGATGATGGAGCAGCCGGCCCAGTTCAAGCCGTCACCAAAGCACTGCCTGGAAGCAGGAGGGGAAGCAGCTGGTGTGAGAGGCAGGGAGGGGTGGGAAGGGCCCTCGCCTGAGACCAGGATCACTGCTTGGAAGTAGCTGGTCTCGGGGACAATTCCTTAATTTGTGAAATGGACACAAGAGAAGCTATAGATTTGCTTGTTCCAGAAACTGTGGTTATATTATAAGCCCTTCTAACCACAAAGAGGTATCAGTCTATTGTCCCACGAATGTAAGAAAAATCACCTTTGAAGAAGACAAATTTGCAAGAAAAAAAAGAAAGGAAATAAAAAATGCAACCAGCCCATGAGGTTTACATGGCTGCTATTTTAAGCAAGTCAAAGAAGAACCTGTTTTGGCCCCATCAAAGAGACAGGGAGCACCTATGAGGGGAAGAGCCCTTTCTGACAGGAGACCAACTGGCCAGGGTAGGCCAGGAGGGTAGGGAGAGGCTTGGGGACCCATGAGCAGCTGCCGCCGGTGTGTGGGGCGGGGGCTGCAAGTCCTCTTGAGTCGGATACAGCTCAGTCTGCACGCTGCAAGTCTCAACAGCAATTCGGGCAATTTGGGAGGCGGAGGGGTCATCTCTCTGCTCTTTCCTGTTCTCAAGCAGCAGCCGCAACCCACCCTGGGCAGGCTTTCCCTTCCTGCCCGTTCAATCAGCCCAGCTTCCAGTCTCAAAAAGACAAGGGCCCTCCTATGGGTCCGAAGTCCATAATGTGCACACTCGCATGCACACGCTCATCTCTGCCTCTGGCCACGTGTTGCCTTTCCTGGAATGCGCCCTTCTCTCCTCTAAGATATAAATCCCAGAGATGTCCAAGGCTTAGTTCTAGTCCATCAGTTAAATTCTAATAACCCACTTCTCTCCCTTTTCACATCTGTCATCCTTCCTGTCCTTGCTGTCTCATTCAATGTGTCTTATGTCTCTCCGTAGTCCCCCTAACCCCCACAAGGCCAGGGACTGTCTAATTTTGCTCAGCATTGGTGTAGGTCCAGTACCTCACACAGTGACTGGCACATAGTATGTGCTCAATAAATAGTCATTGGACTGCCCTGCCCCTGCCCACCACGTTTCTTGCTGTGCTCTGGCAGCTGATGAGGGGGGGACCAGCAGGTTGGAGTGACCCGCCTTCCCTAGGGGGTACTCACTCGGCTGTGAACTCATTGGTCCCCACGGGGATGCAGTAGACGAACTGCATGGCACTCCACAGCCGGTGGAACTCCACGCACTCGTCCACGTGCATGACGCCATTGGTGGGCGGCGGGCCCCGCCAGATGGGGTCCTGCAGGTAGCTCCGAATGCGGGTCAGGATGACCTCGAACATGGACAGGCCGCAGCACAGCCGTTCCTTGGTCAGCAAGTCACCCTCCCGAGCGATGGCGATTTGCTGGGGACAGAAGCGCATACATGATGAACCTTCTATCGACATCTTCCACCAGAGGTTCCCAGATGCCAGAGCTGGCTATCCCTGGAATCCATTCACTAGAACTGATGTCTTACCCAGAACAAGGCCTTAACTTTGTAAACCTGGGGGCAGCAGCAGGAAGTCTGGTGGTAAGTAAAGTCCAGGAGCCATGGAGAGAGGAACAGTTTTAAGGAATTCTGACACACCCATGTAATGAGTGAAATGCTAGCTAGACCCTGAAGAAACTGAGATGATCCTACTAAAGGTATGATTGCTACCACAGTGCTATTGACTCCTGGCTCATACTCGCTGAATGTGTAACAAAGCAGGCCCTGTTGTAAGCACTTGGTAAGTACTGACTTCATTTATTCCTTACACCAACCTTGGGTAGTATGTGCCATTATTACCCTCGTTTTACAGATGAAGAAACTGAGGGCCAGCAAGTGATACAGTGAGGCTCTGAATCCCGGTGGTTTTGTGGGTTAAGTTGTTAAGTGAATAGAGAAAGTTGCAGGAAAGGACATCTCTATTATAAAAACCCCGTGGCCATGATGCTGTCACGGTCAAATACCTAAAAGCATCTGCTGAACGTCATATGATTTCTTCATGGGAACAAGTAAGTGTTGCTCTGTTCAATTCTCATCTCTCAACAAAGGTTAGTTTTAGTGCTCCTGAGAAGGAAAGGTTAGGGCAGGAAACGATTCCTATCTCCGCCCACAACTGTCTTCAAGGCAGGTGGGGCTGCGTGTGCACCGAGGCCCACGTGGGTGGGCGGGGACTTGACTGCTGGGTTCCTCGCGATTTCACACAGTGAGCCTCTAGTTTTAATACAATAATCCTATTAAAAGACATCAATAACACACAAGCCCACATTCACACACACAACTCTGTGTGGGGTGTGTATAAAACATTCTAGCAGGTTAGAAGGATTAACATCCGTTGTGGGAACAGATGGGCTTGACGAAGTGGGTGAGAACTTCCCTTTTTACTTTAAATACTTCTGTACAGTTGAATGTGTTACAAGGAGTGTATGTTAGTTACTCTTACAATGTGCCACTGAATTCCCAGAATGACTTCCTCTAGATAGAAGTCCCCCAACCACTGTAAATGATCTCTATTAATAACATAAACTGGCTCTCGCCTGGCGTCTGCTTATTGCATCTCTGGCCATCAGCTGTCTAGACCAGCACATCAAAACTCATTGCTGTCTGAGTGCCGAGTGAAAACAGCTAGCAGGACAGGTCTCAAAAGCCACGTGCAAAGTAAGAGAGATGGTAATATCTAAGGTCAAAGTATGGACTCCAAATCTAGGGACAAAGCTAACGAGGGTGGCTTCTAAGACCCAGAGATCCACAGGGTATTTGTGGGATGGCCTGTCCAGGAAGTTGTCTCCCCAAAGAGCTCATTTTACAGGGAGCTTGGTGGGGGTGGGGGCTGTCTGATTTCTTGATGCGAGCTCTAACCCTGGAGCCCCCAGGAAGAAACCACCTCTCAATTAATCTGTGGAGGGAAATAAATCAGGAAACACAACTGTTGGGGCCCTTTAGGATATTATGGGCCAGGAATGCAGTTGCCATGACAACTATATGCTGAAAGAAGTCTCCAAATAAACCGTGAATTGGGGAAGAAGAGTTTCACAACATTTGTTTCAAACAAGAGGGAGAGGGAACCCTGATTCAAGGGGACTGGTCTTGATTCTGAGGGCAGAGAAAGATAGCCGCTGAGCGGAGAAGGGAGCACTCGAGTTGCCATGGTGAACTTGGAATTGCTCTTGCAGGACCCTGGGCCTGGGGCTTGATTCCCTTCTCACAGGCAAGTCTCTGCCAAGCTGGCATTTGGTTCTTCACTTCAGAAAGGCAGTGCCTGGGACAGTGAAGATGTTCATAAATAAATAAAGGATCTTGAGTCAGGCATATTCTCCTTTGTAAGCTCACACAGAGAGTTCTGAATGACTCATTAATCTCTTGTGCATTTAGTGAGTCTGAATCAATCCTCAAGGACTGACAATTGTGGGGGGATTAAAAAATTAGCAATGGGGTTTATAAATCTGCAGAAAAACTATGAATTCTGGTGACCACCCCATTCCCACCTACTTACAGTCAACCGCAGGGGCCTTGACCGAAATGTTTAGGGGCCTTATTCCTTTCCTTAAAAAAAGTGTTTAGCCTTACAGTTTTCCTGTGAACTATAAATACATGGATGGTCACTGGGTAAAATCTAGAAAAAAATTTGAAACGTAAGAAAATAAAAATTTCCCATAGACCCCATTACTCAGAGATGAGCTTTCTTAAAACACTGATGCCTCATTTGTTTGTGCTCATGTGATGCTCAACCACTTAGTCAAGCTGGCAGGGCTGATGCTGTTCTTAAAAAAATAATTCTTTGTGTTTTTAGAAGCCTTTTACTTATTTGTTCATCATAACGATCATGCAAGGCAGCGCAGCTAAGGAGACAAAACAGCTACTAGCCCATTTAATAGATGGGAAAACAAAGACTGAGATATTAAATGTCTAGTGTTAGGTTATGTGACAATGCAGGGGTGAAGCTAGGACGAGGACCCCTGGTCTTTTCACCCTCTGCCAGAGTGTTCCTTCCAGGATAGCACCGGGCAGCAAGTCAGGTCACTTGAACGTGTCCCAGAAACCCATACAAACGATGCTATCGTGTTAAAACCTCCCGACTTTGAATATGTAGCAGAACTGTCCTGCCACCGACCTTGATACAGGTGGGGCAAGGAAGGTGTGTAGTTGTGAGGAGGCGAAACACAGAGCTTATTCTTGTATTCTTACTTATTCGTTATTGTATTGTTTTCCATATGAACAACTATGAACCTCCTTTGGCCTCATCCTGTATTACATGAGCCTTCCCGCACCCAAACCCCAGCCAGCTCATAAGTTAATATTTAGCTAACCTTTTTTTTTGGCCCATAGGATGAGCACAGTGTTGGACTCTTTCTTGAGAGCCGGCAGATTTGTAAAACTGGCATTTCCTCTCCTGCAGACTGTCTAGGCTTTTGTTTATAAAATACTCAGCGTTTGACAAATTGCGATTTATATCGGTCCCCAGGAAATGGTGTTGGCCAGAGCAGGGCAGCAGTCCAGCGCTCCGAGTGGAAATGCATGCCACAGCCCGGTGCGAGGGCCCGGATTCTTGCAGGATGACACCAGCTGAGGGGCAGGCACATTGCTCTGTTGCCGGCCTGGGGGATTTCTCCCTAAAAGGAAATCGCTAGAAGATCTCCTCTGCTCAGCCCCCGAAGGCCAGGAAAAAAAGTGGGTGCCCTGCACAGTGTCTGAACTCTCTGCAGGGTGACTCAAAGAGCCTGCCCACGGAACGGTTAGTCACGTTTTCAGGAGGAGGTTGGTGGCATGCAGGTCTGGCTCATCAGAGTGACACCGGGGCGGATTTTTTGCAATTTGCCCCCAAATGCTTGCTGTGCTTTTCAAGAGAAAAGAGGCTTCAGGGTGTAAGTCTTCAGATACACACAGCACCGAGGACCACAGGAATGTAAGCCCAAGAGGGAGCTGCATCCTAAACCTTTGACAGTGAGCTTTGGTGACCAAAATGAACCATCTCGGCTTGGCTCCCTCTGGTGCCCGGGGTCTCTCTTCTTCCTGAATTTTGCCCTCTAGATCATGCCTTTCTTGTATCTCTTTCTCCTCATTTTTCTTCTGTCCTGAAGGCAGGGGTTCCTGTCTTACTTGTTTCCAGGTTTAGAGCCACTGGTAGGACTGGGTTTGTAAAAATCAGTTGCTGAATTCATGCCATTCACCTTTGATAACATTCGAGCATCTCAGAGGTCATTTTCTAGGAAAAGTTTTATTTATATGGCTTTGTGTGTGTGTGTGTGGGAGGGGGTTTAAAAATATACAAATGGCATCAGACTGCATGAGCTGCGGTATAACAACTTGCTTTATTCATCCATCCATGTGCTTATAATCTACCCACACGGATGCACCCAGATAAATTAAATCTTTTCATGATTACATAATAAGCGCTCCACACTTAGATGATGTCACCTCCTTTTGTTTAGTCAACCCTGCACTGACTGACATTTAGCTCTTGCTTTAATGAACAACGTGGCAGTAAACACCTGGTTCCTGCAAGCATTTCTCTAGCAAAGAGATGCAGACACGGGCTGCTGGCTCACAGGGTGTGTGGTGTGTGGTGTTTTAATTCTGAGAGATAACATAGCAGAACTCTTGAAACCTACCAGGGCATCATGGGTACTTGTCTGACTTCCTTCTATCTTGGGGGCATAGAGGGTACAGGGGGTGGAAGGAAGAACTCGGGCTTGAGAGCCAGCAAATCTCATTCCAGACCTGCCCTGCCACTAACAGGCTTTGTGGTTAGACAATCTCTTCCTCTCTCTGGGCCTCAATTCCCCTGTAAGCGGAGGGACTGGGCCACATGCCCTCCCTCTAAAGCTCCTTTTGGTGAAGGGTCTTACCTGAGGGGTCCCCAGCCGCTCTATCAGAGGGACCAGGTGAAGTGGGGCATACTTGGCTTCCAGGCGTTTCATCCGGACTTCCAGACGCTCCCCCTCTGTCAAAGGAGCAGTAGGCAGAGCGTGAGATTCAGGCCACGTCAGGGGGACCTGGGGAAGGGACACTCCCAGAGGATGCGGTGACCTATCTGTGTTCTAACACTTGAAATGGAGCCTGTAGAACTCTTCTCCTTGTTTTTGGTGAGTGTAATCAGGACTCACTATAAGGAAAAAGGTCCTATTCTCTCTGTCCAACAAGGGAATCATCTACCTCGTGGGATGATGAGTTCCCCATTCACTCGAAGGATTCAAACCCAGACTAGACAGCAAGAGGCTAGAGATGTTTCAGAAGGACGAAGAAACAAGGCCTGGGGTACTGTGTCCAAGTCTACCATCCTGTGACCATTTCATAGCTTCCCAAAACTAGAACCTTCTCCTGATCTGACTGCAGATCTGGTTTACTGAGATTAAGTAAACATGAAGTTCAAAATCAAGTTGGCTATTGAGTGGCTGTTAGTGGTTTCTTACCTTTGATGTAGACTCTCGGCAAGATATTTTGGAAGGGTGCAGCATGGAGCAAATCACAGACTTCCTCCTGAGACTGCAAACAGAGATGGAGGAAATTAAAAAAAAATCACTTTAAACCAGGGAGAAATTTCATTCCTAAAAATTTGAGCACTGGAGTCAAATTTTGCACTCATTTGAGTTCAAATCCTGCCACTTTTACTTGCTAGCTGTGGGCTATTAGTGTCTCTGAGACTATTTATCTGCAAGATGAAGATGTGAATAGTACCTATTTTAATGGGCTGCTGTGAGGATTAATTGAGAGAATGCATAACTTCACAGCAAAGTCCCTGGCACATGAGTGTGCAACACATTTTCCTTATAATCTTATGAGTTTGCTTAAGAATGTGAATGAGTGGGATCAAGCAGAGATAATGGGCCCCAGACTGTGTTTGGCTCATTGGTTGTGAGGCCTATGGATTCAAAGCAGCTAGCTGGGCCGGCTCTCCAACTCATTAATCCAGAATGATGCTGACCCCATCAGATAAGTTGGGAAGAGAGTCCCCTTTTGTATTTTCTGGGAGAGAGTGTGTAGAATCAGTATTACTTCTTCCCTAAGTGTTTGTTTAGAATTCACAAGTGAAATCATCTGCATCTGAAGTTTTCTTTGCTGAAAGCTTTTATAAAAAACACGAGGTATAGTCCTGCCAGCTGGCTCAGTGGTTGAGCATTGACCTACGAACCAGGAGGTCATGGTTTGATTCCAGGTCAGGGCATACCCTGGTTGAAGCCTCGATCTCCAGTAGAGGGTGTTCAGGAGGCAGTTGATTAATGGTTCTCTCTCATATTGATGATTCTATCTTTCCCTCTCCTTTCTTCTCTGAAATAAATAAAAATATATTTAAAAAAAAACTAAGTATAAAATTTCTTAAGTAATAGGACAATTCAGGTTATCAATATTTCTGAGTGAGTTTGGGGGTTTGTGTGTCTCAAGGACTTGCTCCTTTTATCTAAATTTAATATGTGGGTTCTATAGTAATCTCCCTATTTCATTCCTGGTATTGGTAATTTGTGTCTTCTCTTTTTTTTCTCTTGGTCAGTCTGGCTAGAGGTTTATCAATTGATTTCCCGCCTCTCCCCCCAAAGAACCAGGTTTTAGTTTCATTCATATTTCTCTATAGTTTTTGCTTTCGATGTTACTGATTTCTGTTCTTGTCTTTATTATGTTCTTTCTTCTGCTTGCTTTGGGTTTAATTTGCTTTTCTTTCTCTAGTTCCTTATGATACAAACATAGATACTGATTTAATAACTTATTTTTTTAAGATAACATTTAGGCTACTTACTCTTCTATACCTTCAGTAATCAATAGCTTAGTAGTTTTGGAGGAAGCCCAATTCTTTTTTGAGCCTAGGATATAATAGTTTCTCAATTATTTATTAAGTGAATGAATAACTACCCCTTCTGTTTCTTAGATGAATATGCAAATGAGGATACTTATCTACATGACAATCCTCCAAATACAAGAATACATACATTCACCTTACAAATACGTATTGAGCAGTAGGCACTGTTCTAGGTTTTGCAGATATGATGTTGAACAAGTTAGACTAGATCTTTGCACTCACATGGCATTTACAGTCTAGTTCATAGAGACGGATAAACAAAGGTAAATAAATCAGGAAATTTCACATAGTGATAAGATACAATAGGGTAATAAGCTAGAATGACTGGGGAAGGGACTACTTGAGAGAAGGTAGTTAGGTAAAAATCTTTTTTTGAGGCAAACACATTTAAATAAAGAATGGAATGAAGTGAGGGAGCAAGCTATGTAGGTATGAGGTAAGAGCATTCCAGTGCAAAGGGCCTGGGGCAGAAAGTCAAGTGGAGTAAAGTGATGCAGGAATCATAGCCCAGTCTGAGGTCCTGATGGTCGGGAGGGACCAGTTCATGTGTGGCCTTAGAGGCATGGTATGAAGCCTGAATTTTATTTGAAGGGCAATGAGGAACTGCTAAAGTATCCAGGCAGATACACATAACCCTACTGCCAAGTTTTTTTTTTTATCTTTCCTGTTTGCTTCCAAAATTTTAGTTGCTCCTAGAAATGTCTTGTTACTAGAAAAGTTGCCCATGGTACAAACTATCAACTTTCTGTTTTGTTAATGTGAGTAAAATTGATCTTAGGAGACCTTTAAGAGATGGGATAAAAAGCAATGTTGCTGATTTATTCATTTTACATGATGGGTTTCCACTTCAAATTTCTTTAGGGGAGACAAGAGTGTTCCATTTACCCCTCTCCTCCCCACCACCACTCCGAGTTTGCAAACTTCAGGACTCCAAAGGTTCTTGGGGAGGACGCTTCCTGCTGGCATGCTTCCTGTGTGTTCTCCACCTGGCAATGCCATTTGTTAAGGAAGGTGAGGAAAGACACAGGGATGTGATGTCCTGGCAAAGGTGGGAAAGCATTTTGTTGCTTTATTTGTTGGGTTTCTGGTCATAGCTACTAATGTTCTTTAAACTTAAACATACTGTAAGATGTATATGCAGCTTAAATAATGGATTAATCTTGAACCATCTTCCAGAAAAAGGAATAGGAAGGTACTGAACTGATTCTTGTGTTCTCCACCCCGAAAAGGTAGCCTCTATCCTGAACTTGTGTAAGTAGTTTCTTTGCAGGCAGTAAATTTTGGAAGATCTGCTGGTGGTGTGATTCCAAGGACCACTCAAGTGGTCAAATTTATACCCATAGATTTATACCTATAAATTCCTCCCAAGTCAACGTTCTCCATCACTCCTACCCGTTCCACAAAGACTTATTCAAATTTCACCTTCTGAGAGTCTTCCAACCCCCCCCCATCCCCCCAGTCTACAGTTTTCTTTTTAAAATCTGACCAGCCCGGCCAGTATGGCTCAGTGGCTGAGCATCCATCTGTGAACCAGGAGGTCAGGTTCGATTGCCGGTCAGGGCACATGCCCATGTTGTGGGCTTAATATTCTTGCCTTCTCCTTTGCCTCTTGATGCCTTTTTGGTCTTCTTCTGCGTGATGGTCTCTAGACTTAGAGATACCATTTCTTTAATTGGGAGGCACTGCGAATTTATTAGGATATAAGTAAATACAATAATGCTTCTTATTAAGTGAAGAAATGGGTAACAGGGGGGAGCTGAGACCTCCCAGGACTGTCTGGCTTGATCTATAAGTGGCCATGACTCTACAGGACAACCATCTTTTCTAAAACCAACCTTACATTTTTCTCCCTCAGGTTTATGTTATGAAAAATGTTAGACAAACAAAACACTTGAAAAATGAACATCCTTATACCTTTGATGCAGCATTGCTGCAAACATTTTGCCACGTCTGCTTTGACTATGTTTTACTGAATCACTTGAAAGTAAGTTAAAGCTATTGCATTACTTGGCGTTAAATACTTCAGCACACAACTCCTACAAACAAGGACATCCTTAGTACTATGATCTCAACACTAATAAAACAAATTCTTATCCCTGGCCAGGTATCTCAGTTGGTTAAAGCAGTGATCGGCAAACTCATTAGTCAATGGAGCCAAATACCAATAATACAAAGATTGAAATTTCTTTTGAGAGCCAAAAACGGACTTCTGCACATGGGCCATGAAGTTTCAATAGCACTGTACGTGTGTGCCTGCACGTGGTATTTTGTGGAAGAGCCACACTCAAGGGGCCAAAGAGCAACATGTGGCTTGTGAGCCGCAGTTTGCCGACCATTGGGTTAAAGCATCATCCAATACACCAAGGTTTCCTATTTGATTCCTAGCCAGGGCATATACAAGAAACAGTCCCCTCCTCCCCCTCAAAATCTACACTAATGAAAAGAGTAAGATGCAAATTGACCATATCTTCCCGATATCCAACAGCCAATCAGAGTGAGTATGCAAATTAACCCAAATAAAGATGATGGGTTAATTTACATACACAGGAGCCAAGGAGCTGGGGGCAGGGCAGGATGCAGGCATTCCACACCGCCCCTGCCACTCTGGGCCTCTGGGCAGCATGGGAAGGCAGAAAGGTGGCCCTGGGGCAGAGCAAAAAGGCGGCTCTAGCTGGAGCAAAGGCAGTGGCAGCAGCCAGGGGAAGGAAGGCCCATTCTTGCACAAATCTTCATGCATTGGGCCTCTAGTTAATTAATAAATAAATAAATTTAAAAATTCTTAATATCATATAACATGCAGTCAATAGCAAAACTTGCTCAGTTCTTAAAACATTTATTTTATAGTTTTTATTTTATTTTTTAACTGTGATCTAACCACGATGAGTTTTCTCAAGTTTCTGCACCTACCAAATGCCACAGTAATGCTTATTATTCCTGTTGCTTAGGACAACTACTAAAGTATTATGGTTACAAGAGAGGTAATCATTAGAAGATTAATAAGGATCAAGATTAAATGTAAAATTGCTCTTTGCCAACAGTGCAAGTCAAAGCCAAAAAGTTTTTGGTCAGAATGCAAAAATATTTTATTGGTAAGGAACCCATATCAAAATTCTTCAAGGGATGAGTATTTTATTTTGGCACTGCTTTCAGCCTTAAAAATGTCCTTTTCTGTTTCACTTAATTTAAAACTGATAGACCATCAAATACCACAAAAACCTCATGTTCCCAATGCAGTCCATGAGGTTAATGGGGGACTGCTTTCTCTCAGTTACAGGATACCATGAAAATTCAAAATGCATCTTTTAAAAAACAGGGTCACTGTGATCCCAGGCATGCCAGGCTCATGTAGAACAAGAGCCTCTCCCTTTAGGCTCCGTTTTTGGGTGAGAAACGCTGTACCGTTTTAGCAGATTTCCTAAAGGTAGTCATCAGAGCAATCTCAGAACAATATTTTCTCAAATAACAGTTTGCTCTGAGTTTTGAGGCCACAAAAAGACACATAACACTAACATGAATGACATATGTTTTTATCTTTGCCAAAGGAGTGAGGAGAAATGAGCTGGCAAACTGGAGGTCGAGCCCCCGCAGGAATCCCCTGCGGTTTTCTGGCTCAGAAAGGCAAGGAGGGGATGGGGCCTGACCAGAGAGCCCAGCCGTCTGGTTTAAACATTCCCTTATATGGATGCAACATAGA